CTGGCTGCCATTGTCCCCTTACCAGCAGCCCAAATGCTCACGACGATGAGCTGGGCTGTCACCGCTTGGCCGCCGGTGGGGGGTTTGGGAGGCCGCATCGCACACAGACACCCACACACTCCCTCAACTTCCACGAGCACACACATACGCAGACTCGTTTCCACACGGACATAGACACACGCACAGAAACCCACACACTACCTCAACTCACTCGACTTAACACTTCTCACTACACACTTACCGGATAACTCGCACTCTGATTTCCTACGTGATGAAAAATGCTTTCGGGCCACTCGTCGTCTAGTTGGCACTCACATTGCGAGTGGCAGCTTCTGATGCTGTTTCGGTCAGGGTATGTTGGGGGGGCCTATGTTGGGTACCTCGGAAAGACATCCCAAGACCCTCCAGCTGTTCCAAGGGAAGCAGTCGAAGAATACTACCATGCCGACCTAAGACCTGATTCTTTTTTTAAATCAATCCTGCCGTTCTTCTTCAATCACCTGTAACATGACCTTGAGATTGCATTCCCTTTTTGGCTCCTTTGCCGCGGACGAGCGCGCTCGCGACAAGGTTCTGCTGACAGCAAGCCGGAATGGTGTTTGGGAGAGCGTCCTTCAGGCGACGTGTCGCGTCCGCCGCTTCGCATGTGTTGCGCCCGTCGCGTCGTTGCGCTTCTTTGGGGCCCAGAAACCGGGCCATTGAAGTCGGAGGGCTAGGTTTCTTGTTCCGATGTTCTTTTTCGGCGAGACGAGTGATGGTCAATGACCAAGCAATATCAAACAATGAAGTATGGCCCAATATGGCCCAGCATGATCTCAACACATGTTCCCTCTTGAAGCCGCAGCTTGCTCCTGCCGGCCACTTGCTCACTAAAGAATGATGAGGTCAAAACCCTAAAACATCCTAAAGCCCGCACATGCGCTTCAAAAGGCAGTAAGAAAACGACCCTGTCAAACCCTGTCAAGCCCTCTTTGCGATCGTTCAGGGTTGTGCAAAACCGCCCACAAAAGCCGCTTGGTTCGTGAAACGACGTGTTTGGACGAACACGGCCGGAGAGGCGGTCTTCAAGTCTCCCACGTGTGCTTGTGGAGACGGCGCGCAGCTCAGTGACTGTTCAGAACTGGCCTCCGGTGGAGGCCAAGATGGACGCTTGAAGAAAACGACATCTATATGGAGAGGTAAACATATCTTTTTTGGTAGGGGGATTCTTATGAATCAATAGTCTACTACACTGAGTCTACACTCTCATCACTATCTCAGTTCGGGCGCCCTGGCCGGGACAGAATTCAAGACTTCACCACATTGCGATCTGGCCGGGGAGATGCTTCTTCAAACAGCGGCCTTTGCAAGCAGTGTTGGTTGTGAGGGATCTAGCGCCTTGGCTCGTGCAAGTGGTCAAGAGGAAGTGGCTCCAACGAGGTTACACAATTCCAGAAAGATGCCTCCATTTAGGGCCGACACACTCAGGGAGAGAGAGAGAGAGAGATAGATATACACATACATACACACATACATAGGAACCGTCTTCCTGTCACATATGCTTCTGACTTGATCAATTGGAAGAGCTTGGGAGGCATGGCAGTGGCATGGCTTGAACGCAAGCACATGAAAACACGCAAATTTCCAAGGGCTGGGCTCGGCCCCTTAAAAGCGATCGGCGCGTGAAAACACCGGGCACGCGTAGTGCCCGATTGACGTCACGGGCGGCGCACTGCGTGCGGGATCAACACGAGAGTCGGTGAGAAGCAGGGGGTGAAAACTGAAGCAGCTCCAAGGACTTACTCTGAACTCGCTCGAAGTCTTACGTGCCCGGGGAAAGATTGGCGTGATGCCAAGAATGTGTCACACCTATGCATGGTGGAAATCGTGCATGGGTCTTGGTATCCTCTTATACCAATTCTCCGAAAGGAGTGTCCAATGAGCTGCGGATCTCCATGTAATGACGTTTGGACAATTCGTTTCCATGCCTGGTCAAACAAGACAACATGGAGCAATGGAGGGCTCGCTTCAAGGGGGAGACCTCGAGGCCATGCTGCAGCACATCGTGCTGCAGCACATCCGGATTTTTCTGAGGATTTGAGCTGAGAGTCTGCTTCTGCCAGTTGCTGCAACCAATTGGGCCGCAATGGGAGGAAGCGAGTGCCGAAGAGAAATGTTGGAAGTACAGAAATCAGGCCTCCAGCTACAGCAGTGAGAGAGGGCCGTCTTCGTCGATCTAGATGGAGCCGTGAGAGACGGCGACAGTCCGCACCATGAGGACTCTGAAAGCGAAGCTGCTCCCTCGACACCACCCAACTCGGCAAATTTCTCGCAAACAATTACGGGGCCCTCCTGCTTCTGTGATTCCTGCAAGGAAGCGGCAGGCTTCACAGCGCTGTTGGCCCTGGTTGTGAAGGAGCTTTGTGTGGGGTTGTGGTGCAGCATGTGAGTGATCTAGCCTGGCGTGCTCTGGCTGTTGGAACACTCTGCAGGCGAAGACTTGCAAGCGATCAGAAGTGCCATGGCAGGTGGAGGCGGCACTGCAATCCTCCCCGACCGCTGCAAACAGTGGTCGGCAAACATGCAGTCTCAGCTGAACAATCAGCTGTCAAACTTGGGAGCTTGAGTGCCGAACGATAGACAGAGAGTTTCTTTGCACCAGCAGCTGGGGATGCAAAGGGGGCTGGTTGGTATAACTGTAACTGTATTGTTTATGACACAGGTAGGGCCAGCCAACCGCAAAGAGATGTCCACTCCTCAAAGAATCGTTTGGCCGGGACGGCTTGGGGCCGCTAGTGCAATGCAAGGTAAATGGTCGTCACGTTTAGCGTGGACATTTTGGTGCAACGAGGTTGTGCATGTCGCACCATTCTGCAACACAAGAAGTCAACAGGCAGATAAGACAGATAGAAAGGCAGGTTTGGAGAGAGAGAGAGAGAGACAGAGGGAGAGAGAGAGAGAGAGAGAGGCGGACTCTCGTAAAGACAGATGACCATGGAATCATAGAAAATTGTGGATGAATCGGGCATACTGATTCTCTTGACTTTGAGACCCCCCGAAAACAAGTGCCATTGCTTCGTCCACGTCACCTGCGTCACCTGGGTGTTGTCAACCACCGCGTGGATCCTCGACTGGTGTCTCTTCGACTTTCCGAACGTGAACGCGTCAGGGCACTGCAGTGAGCACCGTGAGCACCATGAAGCCTGCGAGCATTGCTTGCCTCAAGACGAGGCGAGCCGCGGCAGCAGAGCTGCCAGGTGTTGGGGGGGAGGAAGGTGCGGGGGAAGGAAGCTTCCAAGAAGCGAAAAGCAGTTAACAAGGGGCAGGATGCGAAAACAGCATTTCTATCTACAACTGCGGGTTCCGAGCGTTTGGGATGTCACCAGTGCCACTACTGTCAAAATATAGGAAGTCACCAGAGTTCAGTAGAATCGAGATCAGACGAGCCAAGACCTGAGCCGTTGCGATGTCACCTGAATCTCGAACCCCCCGAAGGCACCGAAACCGGCCGGACACCGAGACATGTACCGTGCTCGACGAGGTGGCACGAAGCAAACAGGAGAAGCAAAGAGGCCAGAGAGAAGGCAGAGGCAGGGGTAGCGGTGATGGCCATCCGGGCCCTTATTCTGTTGGGGTGTAGAGCTGCCTGGCCCTTGCCACCTCCAAAACCGCCGCAAGAATGGACTCAGTACTGTACTTCTTCCTTCGGTTTTGAGCGGAAGAAGCCAAGCGTCGACAGTTCAAACACAAGTTTGGCGGCGGGAAAGGATGCGCACAAGAAGATGTGGCAAGAAAGGGTTGGTTCCAGGTCTGAAGCGCAATTCGATGGCAGCCTTTTGCCAACAGAGCAGCCGCGTAGTCCACGAGAACTTGGAATGTGAGTTCCCACGGATGGTGTGGGGGCGGATTTTTTCATAAGCTAGTAGGTTGGAGGCCATCGCTACTAGGGTGGAGGCCATCGCTACTGCGAACCAGAAGCTACTAGTAACAAGGGCATCAGTACGTCCTTGCTACTGGTACCTCCTGGCCTTACTAGGAACAAGAAGCTACTAGTGACAAGGGCATTACTACAAGTGCCACACGAGGATTGAATCGACCCAAAAGGTTTGCTCGAAGCGGCGGCAGGAGAGCTTGAAGCGGCGAAGGTTCGGCGTGGGCGGAGAAACGGGTGGAGAAACGGGGCTCGGCATCTCTCCACAGAGCACGTGTTTTCTTTTTTTCTTCTACCCTCCTTCTCTGTCACGTCCATACACGTCCCATTTTTTTGCTTTCGTCTTCTCCTTCTCTGTCTTCAAACTTGACATCAAAGATGATGGCATGTGATGGCATATGATGGCTAGTGGGCACGATCTGCTCGAAAGACCGCGGGAGCGAGAATCGCGTCACGTCACGTGCTTGACCGCATGGTCCTCGGAGCGCTCAGAGCGCCACCGTCATCCTGACAGCCATTGTCATGTCCAATGGGTTTTTGCGGACCTGGCATGCAGGAACCACATGTACACTCTGACCCACTAACATGGAAGTGGAACATAGGCCCCAGGAACGTTTTCGGCAGCGGGAGTGGAGAGGCCACTGCTTCTCCTTCTCAGGCCTCGGGGGGCGGAGCAGATCTGGTCGATCCAGAGCTCAACGTCCTGGTCCCCCAGATCTGGGTCCGGTGAAGCGACCGCGGAGCATGTCAACAAGACAGAGGTACAGGTTTGGCGCCGCGGTTTTTTCGCACCCCAAACCGTGCCATCCATGTAAAGAAGATCAAAGAAGAAAGGTTTGGAAAGGGGAGATGAGTGGACTGGTTCTATAGTCATGCCCTGCCCGCCTACAACTCCAAAGCCGCTGGGCTTGTTGTCGCAGTCAAGCTGCTTGAAGCTGAGGTCCTGGGGCCGGAGAAAAGCCGAAGCGTTCGCAGCCTGAAGGCTCCTCAGCCGACATGTCTCCCAAAGCACCTGAGACCATTGACCAGTGCTGTTTTGGATCTTTTGGATCTCTCCAGGACCAAAACTGGAACGTCAGTTTCGGTCCATCCATTCCAACTTTCTGAAGTCCTCGAGATGGAAAACAGGAGGTGCTTTCATCATTTTTCATGTTCTTCCCCCTGAGAGGAGTAAGGGGGTGTCCTTATCACGATCGTCAGTGTTGATGATATAAATCACCATCTAGGCAAAACATCAGGTTAGCTCTTCCCCTCCTGTCGTGCTAGGTGCCGCCCCCCTCTCTGTTTCTTGGAGTGACGGAGCGGTGTGGACTTGGAACATGGGTTTTAACGCCCCAAACCCGCTCGCTCTTCCGGCGCGCTCGTTTTCGTTTGGTCGTGTGGTTGGTTGGACTTTGGGACCTTTGTTGACAGCGGTGGTGCAGTCTGTCTAGCGCAGTGATGCAGCGGCCAGTGGATGTCCCATTCAACATTCTGTTCAACTGGCCAGGCGCATGCACAGTTTCAGTGGAGGGAGACCTCCAAAAGGGGGCGCGCGCCACGCGCGCCACGCGCGCCACGCGCGCCACGCCTTTTTGGACTCGGAAGTGGAGTGAGTTCTCCACGCCATGCCACGTGAATTCGACCCCTCCGAGGGGCGGCCACCAGCGAAGCTGGTCATATGGACTCTGGACCTTCGAGTGGGGCGAGGCGAGGGCTCCGGTCGCCAGGCGGAGATCCGCGTGATCACGCAAGAGCGGCAGGAGCTCCACCGCGAGGCGGGTTCGGGGCGAGCGGATGGTTCTGGCAGAGTCTGGGTCAAAACGGAAGGTGCGTTTCGGGATGCCCAAAGATGCCAAAAGATGCCAAGAGCACCCAGCAAGGAAGCAACCTACCAGAACAAAAATCTGAGACGCTTTCAGTTCTCTGATCAGGCCACACAGTAGTACTGAGGCACGTTGGGTGGGTTGCCAAGTCGTGCGATGGTGCCGGTGAGAGTGCTTCTCATTTGGTCTGGGGTGGAACGGATGGCGCGCGTGGCGAAACTCCGCAGGTGGAACGGCTGCGCCAGCAGCTCCATCGGTTGCTCGGTGAATCGTGGGGCGCGGGGAAAACGCTGCATCATGTAGACTTGATGATATAGCTCCCCAATTAGAATTGAGAAGCCTCTTCATGGTTTGATCAAGAGGCGATTTGATGCCCTTGTACTTCAACCTGGCGACAGGCAGGGGGAACCGCTCTTAAAGAAGTCGAGCTTATCTCTCCTGGTATTTGGTGAGATGTCTTCTTGCAGCATGCGTCGATGCTGCTTTTTCTTGACCTCAACTCGCAAAGAATTTTTGACGGACTGAAGTAACGGAAATGCCTTTCCAGGTGACCTAAAGACAATTCTTTTTATAGTCTTTGACTCTTAGGGTTTTTGATTGGATTCTTCTCGTTCTAGTCTTTCACATGTCGATCCACCTAGTCTTCTGGAAGACAAAATGGAAGTTCCTCCCGTGTTCTTGTAGCCTCCCCGGAAGCTAAGATGGAGATGTAACGACAAACCGCTCACGGTTAATAAACATCCCAGCAGTGTTGGACTTTCATTCCTGGGGTGTGTTGGAACCACAGCGCAGCGAAGACTTCTTAACGTCGAGTTGCTGTGATGATGCCCCGCGTCATGGTGGGAATTCTCTTCCACTCATTTTGGAGGTGTTTCTTTTTCAATTTGTTTCATTCTTTTTCCAGTCCCGTTGGGGTCGTTTTTGTCCACTCAGAGTAAGGCGAGCTGCCTTTTTTTGGGGGGTTCAACTCTGGAAAATCGATCTAGTTTTGATCTCTCGTTGGCCCACACCAACGCCGCCTTAGCAACTGTCACGTTGCCTCCATCGTGTCCCACCGAAGAAAACAACTGTAATCCTTTTGTTTAAGAAAAGTTGAGTCAAGAGTGCTGCCTGTTTCCCTTGGCCGTCAGATTGGTCTCCTTTTGCCATGAGGCCATAGATAGTCCTTCCACATTCTGCTACAGAACCTGCATTTAATTTGTGTATGTCCATCCAATCCCTCTCAAGAAACCATCCTCCGCCAGCTAGTGGGGTTCTGCCGAATGTCCATACCATGTCAGACGCATGTGGGTGTATGTTTGAATAGGGAGTCCTTTAGTTCAAGCCTCTGCCAGGTTCGGAACATGATCCCAACCCCTTGGGCCAGGCACCTTCCCTACCTACCACCAGCACGCTTAGACAACCCGCACGAGCGGTGCCCCGGCACCGAGGCCAGATCATGGCCCCACGTGAGCGATCGGATCGGACGGGATGAGCCTTTGGAGGTCTGAGGACGGTCGGTAGGTGGCAGACTGATGATGGAGGTCGGGCGACCGGTCTTCCTACGGGTTTCTCTTTAAAAAAGCCACCTTGTGGTTCATTCCGCAGCAAGACCCACATACTACATACTCCAGACAGTGGGTCGAGTGCAGACGGGCATGGGCAAAGTGAGCAAGAGATAGTAAGAGGTGTTTGTTTTCTCCGACAGCAGCCTCAGACTTTCAGAGTGGCCTCCAAGGTGTACAAACAAGCGGAGGCGTGTAACTCTGTATGGAAGTTCTGCAGTGATTCCAGTCTCACTTTGAAGGGAGTTCGGCGGACCGTGCCTTTCATGCGCAGAAGAACTGCCAAAAAGGCGCCACACACACAGGATACAGGACCATGGGTCTTTGGGGTCACCAAGCCCTTCTGGATTCGCCACCTTCTTTGACCAAGGCGCCCGGAAATCTTCTGGATTCGCCACCTTCTTTCTCCCAAGAAGGTTGTAGCATCAAGACTGACGGCAACGATGAGTCTTAGTATGTCTCAGTCTTTCATCAGCCACTGAAATTATTCGCCTAAGCTAAAGCAGCTAAGCTAAAGTGAGAATGTTCCGGGCAAGTGGCTCACAGCACGAACCAATTCCTCGTTGCACTGGCGGTTTGGATGTGAGCAGATCGTTGCAGCCATCTCGGTCACAGCAACTGCATCTCTCTCGGATCGTTTTCCGATCACAGCATGATGCGCCAGCGGCTTAGACGAGTTTAGGCCATTTCAGGCACCTCTAGGACGTGAATTGTAGTGATCTTTTCTTCAGATAAACTGGCACCAGCGGCACTAGTGAGATGACAGCTCCAGAACAAAAAAAACGCGCGAAAACAAGTGAAGGTCATGCTCTGAAGGGAGCGTCTTTCGACCGAAGGGGTCCTTCGTCCGGAGCGAACGGGTCCTGCATCTTGGTGGGAATAGCAGGTGGATTCCAATTGCTAGGGACCTGCAGGTGGGAGAGAAGTAGTAGATAACTCCCTGCGATTCGGACCACATGGAAGCCCAAACTACTGGGTTGTAGAGGAAAATCGTCTTCCATGGGTCATTCTCAGGTTCTGTTAGTTTGTGGAGGAGTGGCACAACCCCCATCAGACGGTTGTGGATATGGGGTTCCATCCAAACGCCACCAGCATCCACCAGCGCCACCAGCTACTTGGGGACCCACCCACTGCAGCGCAGCGAGGTGGAACCGCTCCCAAGGCCAAAGCGAAGGCCTCCCCAAAGGCGTCACCCAAGGCAGCAGCACGAGGCAGGATGCAAGTGGAGCAAGTTGATTTATGGGTGGAAGTGGTTTGAAGGAGATTCTACCGAATGATCTGACATGATTCCTTAAGTAGACCCCTGTACGCTGTACCGCTGGAGATGTACAGGAGTTTGCTTGGCTCCCAGACTTTTTTGCTTTGATGAAAGACCTTGAGGTGACGAGGTGTACTGATTTGGCTGCTTTGCTTGGATTTAGCTGACCCAACAAGACTTGCTATCAGGGTTTTGCATCCAAAAAGTGAAGTCCATGGCTCAACTATGTCCCGCAATTGGAGATCACCAAGCCAAACAAATAGGTCAGATTGCCGTAGTGACTGAGCCATCTGCAGCAAACCTAGTGTTGAGACATCCACATATCACCCAAAGAATCTGAACACAAAGGTTGGAACATGTTGGAATAGAAAAGGGTAGGCAAAAAAAATCATGTCGCGTGCGCCGTCTCATTCAAACCTGCTGCACCGCCCGTGCTGCTGGGCAAGCAGCCCATGCTTGGTAGGGAAAGCACCATTCCAACCTGTAGTGGAGTGTACATGGAGCTTTAGGTTTGACGATGTCCCAACTGGAGAGCGTTTTACATGTTTGGCCGGCACTTTCTACATCGTTCGGGGGGTGAAGCAACGGGCATTTAGTGCCTGGACATGCTGCAGGCAACAGCCCAGAGGCTGGAAACGGGCGTCACAAGCGAGATGGCCGGGATGTCACCTGTTTGTTGATGTGGTTCCAGGTTCCTTTTTTGGGGGGGCGGTGTGCTTGACTCATTCACCCGTTTCAGGGGGTTCCAGTTTCCAGGAATCGGAAGGACAAGCCGACCGAACGAGAGACGAGTCCGGCATCGGCGTTCTTCAGGCTCCTGCAGCAGCGCGCCGACCCGGTGTCCGCAACTCAGAGGGTTGGCGGCCACAAGGAACTGCAACGTTTTAGATGCAATCGGTGAGAGAATGAAGGAAAACGGATGAAAAAGGATGGCTGGTACTGTAGATGCAACATATACGTACATGGCACTCAGAAAAACGAATGACCAAGCAAGAAGCAACAAGAAGCAAGATGGGCTGGTTTAGATATGTCTTTGATGTGATATGTCCATATATGTCTAGGATCTAGATGATTCTCGATCAAGTTCTTTGAAGGACAGGTGCCACCCTCAGTCGGATTCCAGGTGCCACCTGCGCGTGAGTTCCCACCTCTGCCTGGATTGCCGCCCCTTGGCCGAGTGTGTTGAGGACTCACTCCTTGAGGTTCCGATCTCATTTCTGATGTGTTTGACCTTTCACTTCTTAGAGGTTTCAATTGGAACCTCCTCTTGAGGTGTTTTTAGTATATGTTTTTGCTTGTTTGGTCTCATTGATGTGTTTGGTATCTGGCGACTGGCGAGATCGTTCTTTTTTTGGGTGACTTTAATGGAGCTTTCCCCCGATTTTCGCGCACAGTTGGATGATGCTCTCAATTGATGAAGGGCAAATCATTACCAGCAAACCAGTCCCAAAACCGTTGACCAAATGGTTCACCTCAGCTCCTCCAGCTCCAAGGCCTTTACCCTTGGAGGCCAGAACCGATCGTGAGCGCGCCGTGCGCGATCTTCGTTCGGTCGCCCAACGTGCTGGGCGGTGGCGAGTTTGAGGCCTTGAACATCGGAGAGGAGATTGGCAAGGGCCGCTTCAAGCATGCTTGAGCCCAAGCTGCCGGGGTTTTCTCGGTTTTTCAGATGGGTTGGCTCAGTTGAAAACACACAGGACGCGAGTTGAAAGCGAGGTGGACCCAATCAAGCAGCAAGAAATTGATGTTCGGAACATCCGGTTCGGAGGCTTTTTTCCTTTGAAAACAGCACGCCGATATTCTTGCTGCAGGACTTTTGATTTAAAGTATATTTTGAAGTGGAGGTGACACTTGTGGCTTAGAGTGTGTCAGATGCCGCAGTCGAGGTCAATCGCGGCATTCTGAAGGGCAGTGCTATGAAAGATGGCAACGAGGCGCATTTTTCTATTGCACCATGTCAACTGCTTTCCGTTGGATTCTTGAAGTGGCCGTCAGCGCTTCCCCTCAGCTTGCACGCAGCTATGCACAAGCCACCACAGTGGTCTGTCTTGAGCTGCTTGGCTCTCAGATATCCAGCCCACTCCCCTTGCTGCTCGGCTGACGCCGGCTGCCCGATTCCCAGGCAGATCGTGACATTGCCGGCGCCTGAATCAAGTTCACATCGCGGTCCCTTTTGGGCTCTTTTGAGCAGAGTCAAGAAGTCCAGATACATATCCTCTGCTAGACATTAATATAGACACAATACATGTTGAGAAACTCGGCTTTCCATGTCCTCGGCACAAAAAAAGGACTTATATGTGCTACTTCACTCCCTTCAGAAAGGAGCTCAAAAAAGGACGAAGCATCTTCGTTTTCAATCAGTGTCTCTCTGCTAGCTGCTAGATGTTCATGTCTCAGAGTCAGGTGGGTCAGTGTTTCCCATGTCTCCCCCGGTCTCGGGTTCGCTGGTTGTCCGTCAGGTGGTGATTCGCTATGCCAAGGGCAAGCCGGAATGCACCATTGAACTGCAGGCCTCGACCAACACCGACACTTCAGGTACAGGACCCATTATCAATTCCTTCTCGGTTGGATGCATGGCTTACGATGTAGGTTTTCGCAACGCATTTCTCGTTTGAGTGTAGGAATGGAGCTTCATCCAAAACGATCACTCAAAGACTTTTTCATATCATTCAGGTACATTCTTGTTGATCTTACGGCCCATCATCCACAAACTCTTATTCACAACAGTAGGAGCAAGGACGCTACTAGGGGCTCCTGGCATCGCTACTAGTAACAAGGTTCGCTACGAACGGGGCTCCTGGCCTTACTAGTAGCGATCGGACGCTACGAACGGAACACCAGCTGCTGCTGTCTAGCTGTCCAGCTCCGTAAGTCCCGGCAGGTGCTGTCCCGCTGCGTCCTGGTTCCGGACGCGGCGGAGCACATTCCCCGAGTCTGGGGAGCCGCGGAGCAAGGCGGCGACGGTCCGGACTGGGTGGGGTCTGCCGGGTCGGTGTTGCTCCCGGTGGGGCCAGAAGAAGAGCGGTTGGGGTAGTTTGATGCGAATCCGGGAGCTTGGAATATCTATATATGCTGTTTTTTTTTTTCCGTTTTTTGAGTCAGAGCGAAGGCCGCATGTATCAAATGCGAGCACCCAACAGCTAAGTGGGTAGGGCCTGAAGTCCACAATAGTGCATTGAGATACAGTGACCCAACACCTAGAGACAGCCTCATCAATGCCACAAAGCCAGCCACGCCTGCCTGGGCCTACGTAGCCGCAGCATGCCGTAACCGTTGTTCACGAATCTTGGCCCCAATTCCTGCGACCTGAATGGTTTCTTGCTTGCCACGCCGCACAGCTGTGCAGGAAGAGATTTGGTTCTGGTACAGGACTGCCACCATCCATGCGGGGTGCTCGTCTCGCTTCGCCGCCTCTAGGGTCTGGCCCCCGCCGATCGTCATTCAGTTTGAAGACACCGGTCCCACCGGCCTCCCCCCGGTCGAAGTGTCCGGTCCCACCGGTCCCCCCCCGCCGGTCCCACGCACGGGGCACCGGAACGTGGGAAGTGTGCAGGAACGTGCGAAGTTTGGATGCTTGAAGGCCACCGGGGAGAGAGAGATGAGCAGATGTCCAGATCGCTCCCAAGTGAGACTGGCGAGATCTTGTTCAGGGGAGCCATTTGGCAAGGGACTGAAGGTGAAGCTGATG